TAAGACAGTCCTAACCCACCTGTCATGGTGACCTTGTAAGACAGTCCTAACCCACCTGTCATGGTGACCTTGTAAAACAGAATAGAATCACCTCTTTGGGTGTCTGAGACTATAAATCTTTGGGGGAACCAGTGACCTCATCTCTCTCCCTTGAAGAGCCCAGCGAATTGGGACAGCCTACTTGGCAATGAACAGTCCAGTGTTTTTCCAGGGCTCCCTGAAAACTGTACTTGAAAGCAGCACAATTTATTCTCCTACTGTTGTGGAAGTCAGAAGTCCAGAACCAGTTTTCCTGGCTAAAGTCAAAGTGTTGGCTAGGCTGATTAGTTGAGGGGGTTCTGAGAAGATCTTTCTCCTGGCCATTTCACAGCTCCTAGAGTTGCATTCAGGAGCCTTGGTGGAAGAGTAGATTAAGTATTGGGCTGCGGACTGATAGGTGGGCAGTTCGAATCTACTTGCTGCTCTCAAGGAGAGAGATGAGGCAGTTTGCTCCTGTGAAGACCAACAGCCTCAGAATCCCTGTGCAGCAATTCCACCCTGTCCTGGAGGGTAGTTTATGAGTCAGTATCTTTTCCAAGGCAGTGGGTTACAGCCCATTCCTCTCATTCTTTAGCTCTTGGCCTCTGCCTTGATCTTCAAAGCCTGCCAAGAGCAACCTAGCATCTTTTTCGATAGGTCTCTTCTCTCATTGTCACATTGCCTTTTCCTCTTCTGTAATCACATCACCCTTCTTAACTCCTTCATGTAAATACATTTGTGATTGCATCTAGGCCCTCCAGGATTATCCCTGCATATTCCAGGATTATCCTTTCACCTCAGAAACCTTAACTTAATCTCTCTCATCTGCAAAGTACCATCTACAGGTTCTGTGATAACACGCATTATGTAGGTGGTACAACTTTGATTGCTGAAAGTGAGGAGCACTTGAGGCACTTGCTGATGAATACCAAGGATTGTAGTTTAAGGAAGACTAAAATCCTCCCAACTGGACCAATGGAGAAAAGATTGAGGTTGTCAAGGATTTTGTCTTACTTAGATCCATAATCAATGCTCATGGAAGCAGCTGTCAAGAGATCAAAAGATACATTGCATTAGGTCAATCTGCTGCCCAAGACTTCTTTAGGGTAATGAAGAGCAAGGTTGTTACTACAAGGTGCACCTGACCCAAGCCATGGTATTCTCCATTGCATCCTATGCATATGAAGGTTGGACATTGAATAAGGAAGACATAGATAGAATAATCAATGTATTTGAATTGTGGTGCTAAAGAAGAATACTGAAAGTACCATGAACTGCTCGAAGGACAATCAAATCTGTGTTGGTAGAAGTAAGGCCAGAGTGCTCCTGTTTAGTCTCAGTACATTAGAGAAACAAATCCACAGAAAAAATCATGTATAAGAGTTTTATATACAGGTTAAGTGCACATCAAGAAAACATCTCAACCCAGTGCTGCCCAAGCCTACACGTCCAACATTAACCTATATGTCCAACACCAATCCACAAAGTCCTCCTTGATTTCACAAAACAGACTCAATGATGCCGACTACAGGAGGAAAGCCGAATCAGTGAATGTGTAAGCATCTCACCACTGGCAGGGGTCTCCACACGGCTGCTCCAGCACTCAGGGCTGCATCAGGATAGGTCCATGTGGCTTCTCCTCGGGGATATCTTGCAGGAAGTGAGCCTTGCCAGCTGAAGCAGGGAACTGGCTAAGGCAATTGTACCCTGGTCCAACTATCACAAAGCAAGAGACCTGAGAACTAAAAAGGCAAGGCTCACCGAGCCATTTATCCCTCCATCCTTCAATTAACCCCGCATGTGTTTATCAGCCAGGTTGGCACAATAAACTAACTAACTCAGCTCCTCAGAGGAAAGGGTTTACCTTATATATTTTGGATGTATTTTTAGGAGAGAACAGTCGTTGGAGAAGAACATCATGTTTGATAAAGTGGAGAGGCGGTGACAACTAGGAAGGCCCTTGATGAAATGGATTGACACAGTGACTGCATCCTTAGGCTCGGGCATGGGAAAAATTGTAAGAATGGTGCACATCCATGCAGTGTTCCATTTTGTTGTGCATGTAGGGCCACTACGGGTTGGAGCTGACTTGATGGCACCTAACAATAACAACCACTATTTGGACAGCGTAGAACTGATCCTTGGCGTTTCCAAGAATATAAATCTTTACAGCAGCAAGCAGTTTCATCTTCTTCCTACGGAGCAGCTGGTGGATTTGAGCTACTGACCTTGGATTAGCAGCCTAATGTTTAACCCAGAGCATCACCAGGGCACCTTAATGATACCTTAACTCAAGAACCCAAACTTACTCTCATTGCGTTGATGTGGGCTCATAGTGACTCTATAGGGCAGAGAAGAGCTGCCCCTGTGGGTTTCTGAGACTGACTCTTTATGGGAGTAGAAAGCCTCCTCCTGAGGAGCATGGTGTTTTCAAACTGCTGGCCTTGTGGTTAGCAGTCCAACTGGTAAGCAACCCCTGGTGTAGTCTAACCGCGATTCCACCAGGCCTCCTTGTGGGCCTTTCATCTGCCTACCACAGAAAGCAAAGTACTCACAGAGCACCCTCTGCAATATTGCTTCCATATCCCAAGGGACACTTTTCTGAGAAATCTTTTCTGATAGAGCCTTCCCTTTTCATAGGCTGATGCTGGTCAGACTCACCCAGAGAACGACTGCAGCCCCCAGAGGAAAGCTGCAGAGCCCAAGGACCATGTGCATGGTGCCGAAGACAAGGCAAAGGGGGCCCAGATGGGAAGCTTACCTGGAACCATTCCAGAAAGCTCCCCATCTCCAAGTGAAAGAAACGGAGGAGTACCTTCAGGTAAAAGCCCTCATTCCGGTTGATCTCCAGTAGGACTGTTTCTCTGATTTATAAAGAAATGCTTTGTGGGCCATGACACAGTAAGGCACAAGGCCTTTGTCTCAGAGATGATAGAGGTTAACATTAGCCTTTTGTTAGGTGAGTCAATAATGCTAACCATTAACTTCTTGTTGAGGAGATCATTAAGAACCATTGTGTGTGTGTGTGTGTGTGTG